TGCACATAGCACTGCTGAGCAGTTAGTGAATAACATGCTGACTATAAAAGAAAAACATTTCTTCATAAAAACTTACACAAGCACACACACAAAAAAACTTTTTCACCATTTATGTACTTACAGCAAGTAACAGGCAATTGTGTTGTATTAAAAAGCGTGCAAGTCAAGCTCAATTATGGGAAATATGAATATTGTAATTTTTTTAATAAGATTTTTGGATGGTTCTACCAAATGTCTAGTAAAAACAATGACAGAAATAATTAAATGTCAGCTTCTTTTCTTGTCAGGTTATCGTTAGTCGGTTAAACAATGGTTCAATTATTATCAACACTCTTACTAAACAAATGAAAATAGCTTTCCTATGGCAAGATTTTTCTAATGTATACCAGGTAAATTGGGTGGCTAGTTTAGGACTGGTATTTGGGTTGGCATTTACTAGGGTTAAGCTGTTAATAAGGATGTAACCCATTACATTTACCATTATACTGGGCTTGTTTGACTCAGCTTACCTAGTTTTTGTGAATCCCAGTGAGATAATCAAGAACAAGCACAGTTTGGCCACAATTAACAATAAATATATAATTATTGCATGAGGTTGACCAAAATTTCATCATTTTTCAGTGGTGAGCAGAAATTTTACCTAAGCCAAGGGCTGAGGCAAAATTTGAATTGTGAGAAGCATCTGTAACACTCAGTAGGATCTTATTTTCAAGAGTGAAACACATTTAGATGGTCCTTAATACATTAGCAAGCCATTGTTTGTAGGCAGTTATTTGAGGGTAATGTGGTGGAATCTTGGCCAATGAAAAGGAAGACAAACTGCATCAAATGATAATATATATTAATGAAGTGGGTTAAATTTCCCTGAAACCAGAGTTAGGTTTTAATTAAATCAATGGTAATAATTAAAAAAAATCAACATTTAAGAAAGTACACCAAGATCAATGATCAAAATAATACCTTCCTTCCTTTCTTTATAGGTAATGCACCTACTAGCCCCTGGCTTAGAGTTTCAGGACTGGAATCTTAAAGGTGGTATAAAATAAATACCATGGGATAGGCCTTGTAAACTACAGTATTATTTGTGTATAAAAAATTATGCAAAAGAGTTTACAAGAGCTCACAGTCTTAATGATAGAGCATTCAGTCATATAAAAACAAAAAATAAATCAGGTAAAACTTTTGGAATGTGCAGTTCAGACTGTATATCATCTCCTAGAAACAAATAACTAAACATGGTTTGCTGGGAGGAATATATAGGATTTTTGGTAAGGGAGTTCAAGATACTTCCAGTAAATTCTTAAAATTGAGGTATTCAGAAATGAGATTTCCGGCATTCTGAGGTCAAGTGTCAGCGTGTTATAATGTCACCCTTGATCTGCACCAAGGCTCTGTTATTAAATTAGAAATGATTGAATGAGTCAACCAATATTGCTCTGTGAAAACAAGTAAAGCAACTGATAACCAATATGCATTGAACTTTATGAAATAATGATGAGGTGACAATGATAATGATGAAGAGGAGGAGGAGGAAGATGAGGAGAATGCAAAGGGGAAAAGGAGAAGTTAAAGGAGAATTTTCAACATTATAACTTAATTGCATCACCGCAGGCAGATAATGTGAGACTAACTCAGTTCATATTTCATGCTCCGAAAGCATTGTATATTGTGGCTGTGATTGCGATCTTAGTGACTAACTGGATACTTTAAATTATAATAATAAATACTTTGATAAATGCCCAGCACCCTGATTTTATCTGTGATTGATGAATGTGAATTAAAATGATCTTTCAGCAATTAATACTTTCGAGAGGGTCATATTCCCTGCTACCTGTGCAGTTGAACATGAAAGCAACTGCAGAAGGAAACCAATGAAATGTAACAGAAATACAATACATGGTATGTGTAAGTGGTAAATTACAGCTTGGCAGTCAGTAAAAATGCAGACTGTGTGCTGGGTACAAAATGCAGCCTAGCTACAAAATGCAGAATGCATGCCATGTACAAAATGCAGACTGGATAGAAAATGCAGAATGAGAATAAAAACTGTTTTTTCATCAAATCTGTGATAGCATGTCTCTTTATAACTTATGCAGTGTCATGCTATCACCTTTCCAAAAAATTTGAGCCATTTCTTCAAAATTATATTTTGTTTTTAACAAAGCATCAAGGTCATGTTAGTTCTCAATAGAATCTGAAGGAACCTTTCATAGTCTTCTCACATTGCACACATGCAAGATCATTAGAAAATCCAAATAATACTTTGACGTTCAAGAAACAATGATGGTCAACGGTCAGTGTTCATTTTCCAACCAAATGCATCTTAGAACTTGTGACCAGGCTATTCAGCTATGGGGTCAGGAAATTAGGATAGGAAATTAAAAAGGGAATAAAACTTAAAGCCAAACCGTTCCTTCAAGAAGATATATTTCTGATTACTACATTATTGTCAGCCAATTTTTTTTTATATTTAAGAACAATTTTCATCTTTCAGACTGAACGTGTTCTTATGCATGTGGTACTTTATAGACCAAATTTCAGGCTGAGTGTCCTTAATCCATTTGTTCTTTTATGTGGGTTATTA